AGGGGGGCCGACAGCCCCGTCCTGTGCTCCAGGTAGTGACTTTGCTGCTGAAATTTCTTAAAATTTACCAAACAAACAAAAAAAAAGGTGAATAACACCCGGGCCCGAGCTGCTTCCCGTGCATCACGACTGCTGAAAGGAAAACGTTTCATCTCAACCCCAAAACACGTCAGAAGTACAGGCAGTGGGAGAGGTTTCAAGGACGTATCACAAATACTCTGAAATTAATGTAGGGTAAAAGGGGAGGGGGGAAAAAAGAAACTTGCTACAGACACCGTAATACACAATAAATTTAGATAATTTAAAAATAAAAAAGGCAAGAGGCAGCATTTCAGCAGCAAAGTGCTCAATAAAAAGTATATTGGAAAGGGAAAGGGGTAGAGCAGCAGGCGGGGAAGGGGCTCAGAGGAAATAGGGAGTGGTTGTTCTAGGAGGAATGACACGTTCTGAATCTGGGACTGCACGGAATAACTTTGGTTCTCTCGTATTTACATCTTTAAAGACCATGATTGACGCGATATTTCCACAGCGGTAGCAGTAATTGGGAGCAGACCATACCGTCACCAGCTTCTCATCAAACATGAATTTATAGCCTTCGTGAACTAGCTGGTGCGCCCGGCAGATCAGCTTCAGGTTGTTGATGTGAACAAACTGTAAAGGAAGAAAGGAACCCTCAGCTTTGTCTGAGGAGCCGCACGCCGCTGCCCACACAAGAGCCCTCTCCCAGCTACAGCCCCGGCACATGCACACCGTGATGAGCTCCAAGAGAAGCTTCTGCACTTGGTGCACTGGGAAAACTATTTGGGTTTTGAGATTTGAGCCCCGGGAAACACCCACGGCACAGAGGTGGCAGCTGCTGTGCTGTCCCCGGGGCTCGGTCCCCCCAGAGCGTGGCACGAGCGCGGCGCTCCTAACGCAGGTGGTTCGGGAGCCCGGGAAGGCCAGCGTGTGTCAGCCCCGAGAGCTGCTCGCTGCTTTCCAAAGTAACAACAATTCAGTCAAGAATTGGTAAGAAAAATGGTGCTTTTTTCCTCTCCTAAATCCCCCATGAAAGGCTCCTACTCAAAGCCTGGTGGTGCCAGTTGGTCTCGCTGCTTGACACCCTTTAAAAGCGAGATGGGTTAATCCCATCTGGCAGCTCCAGTTAATGCTTTTCACTCCAAATGGCTCATTTTTTCAAGTTGGCTCGAGTGAACCTTCTCCACCACCACGACCACCAAGTACTCGCAGTGGTCTGACAAGGAAAGTTCATCACCTCACAGTGCCCTCGATCCGTTCGCTGTAGGGGAAATACCAAACTGAGCTGAACGACTTCTCCTGTACCTGCAGTGACTTTCTCTTGCCCACAAGGCCGTCATTACCTCATTGGTCACCTTGGCGCCGAAGAGCCAGCCTGCTCCTCGCGGACTGATGGCCCACGTGTCCACATCCTCGGGATCAGACCAAACAAGGTCACAGAAGGCGCCTTTGTGAGGAATTTCTTGATTACGTTCAATGGTTCGAATTTGATCGAGTGTCTTGATGTCTGGGGAGAGGCCCCCGTGCACACAGAGAATCTGCTCGTCTATTAGCTGCAGAGAGAGAGACGTGGCTGAGAAATACTCAGAATTAATCCAGCCCAGAACACTACCAGGGTGACCCTTAAAGGTCAGGAATTCTAGACTTGGGAGTGGTGGTGAGTGAGAAGCTG